AAACTTGTGGGTGATTTGAATATTTTTGGGGGGGAGTTACCTGAAGATTAGACACCCTAGCATAATTTACTTGATTAAAAAGATAGTAATGCTTACCTAACCTAACCAAACCAATACTACCACTACCACACCACTACCACCACCATCATCACCACCACTACTACTACCATCACCACCACTACCCCACGTCCTTCACCACCACACCATCACCACCACTACACCACCACTACCACCACCACCACTACTACTACCACCACCACCACCACCACACCACTCCACCACCACCACTCCACCACTCCATCGCCAACACTGACGGGACACACTCTCATATACTCGCTCCAACACAGTAATCACGACACTTACTTCTCTGGGGAAGCTTCAGTTACACTTACACCTGACCTCTTAAGTGTGTGCTAGTGTGTTTTAAGCCTTCGTGTGTGTGTGTGTGTGTGTGTGTGTGTGTGTGTGTGTGTGTGTGTGTGTGTGTGTGTGTGTGTGTGTGTGTGTGTGTGTTGTCATGCCTTGTGTCATAGTGTAGTACTGTGAATGCTTTTGAGGTCTAAAGTCCCATCGCCTTTCTTTGTGATTCTCGACCTTACCACCACCCGGGATAACCTGATCTTGCCCACAGCCCTGTGCTCGGTTGTAGCCCTTTCTTGTCCCAAACGAGAGGAATAAATAGCCAGGTTCTAGGCCATAAGGTCCATGTCCTCCTTAATTTAACACCGAGTCATCAACCTAACTGTCATAAGGCTAAGGGAATCGCATTGTCTTGTCTCAGATAGAAGGATAAATTGAAGGGCATTGAGGTCTAGAATCCCCACAGCTATACCGATAATTGTCGACCTTATTGTTAGAGACAGAGAGAGACAGATAGATAGAGAGAGAAAGAGATAAGGAGGGTAGAAGGAAGAAGGGAGGGAGGGAAGGAAAGAAGGAGGGTATAGCATTGTACTCCCTCAAAACCCGCAATGAGCTGCAATATGTAAGTGTGTGTGTGTGTGTGTGTGTGACCTTCAACTTGTTTTAGTGAGGATTTTCTTTATTTTTCTATTACTTATTATATTTATTTTTCTTATAATATCTTTATTTTCATTATTTTTATTATTATTATTATCATTGTTGTTGTTGTTGTTATTGTTATTATTATTATTATTATTGATATTAGTGTTTTTGTTAGTTTACCCTCTGTACCACGTCACTCACGCGGCCTTATGGAGTATGTCACGCTGTCATAGCCACTGTGTCACTCACTGTCACGCTGTTAGATGAAGGGTGTCACACTGTCATAACTAGGGTGTCACACTGTCATAACTTGGGTGTCACACTGTCATAACTAGGGTGTCACACTGTCATAACTAGGGTGTCACACTGTCATAACTAGGGTGTCACGCCACTCTCACTCTCCTACGTCAAGTGTGGCAGCCGTCAGCAGGTTCATCACACCTGTCTGGCCGTCAACAGCTATAAACATCATTCGTGACGGAGGGCAATCAGTGTCCAGTCCAGGTGTGTAACAGGTGTGTTTAACAGGTGTGTGTGTGTGTGTGTGTGTGTGTGTGTGTGTGTGTGTGTGTGCAAAACGTACACCCCCCTCCCTCCTCCCACTTGGTGTGAAGGGTGAGAGGGTAAGTGTATAAGCTAGGTCATTGGTCAATGGAGAGGGGAAGGGGGGTGGGGTGAGGAGGGAGGAAGGGGAAGACGGAATGAGGGGGGGGTGACATAAGTACACCTCCCCCCTCTGTATAATGAGGTGGGGTGAGAGGGGGGGGGGGTCGATCCATACTGTCACTAGCAAGGGTCCTGTTCCAGATTCCAAGGGACCCGACCTCACCTGCCCGACCTCACCTGCCCGACCTCACCTACCCGACCTCACCTACCCGACCTTACCTACCCGACCTCCCTTACCCGACATCCATTTACCCGAGCTCACCTGCCCGACCTCACTTGTAATTAACTCTTTCACCTAGCCTAACCTCCTCCATGTAACACTGTATTAACCTATATTACAGTGTGGTGACCTCTGTACCGTATTGACCCAACATTGACCTGGTTTGTAGTTCTGTAATTATATCTCCTGAGTGCAATAAAGGCAGTACATTACCATAATAACCCTTTGAGGACGACAGCTTGTTAACCTAACCTAACCTAACGTCATCATTATCCTTAGTGGTTTTAAGCCTCATGGGGTGGTAGTGTGGTGGTAATGGTGGTAGTGTAGTGTTCATGGTGATAGTATAGTGGCAATGGTGATAGTGTCAATAGTAAGACACAGAAAGCCTGGTGTGTGTGGGGGGAGAGGGTGTAGGTGTAGGGGTGAGGGAAAGGAGGAGGAGAAGGAAGAAGAGGAGGAGGAGGAATGGTTGCGGACTGTGATTACTCGAACTGCCTCAAGTGTGACCCCTCCTGTCTTAAGCTGGGGGGGGCATTCATCACTTGACATGAGGGTCTAGTCTGTCTGTCACACACACACACACACACACACACACACACACACACACACACACACACACACACACACACACACACACACACACACACACACACACACACACACACACACACACACACACACACACACACACACACACACACACACACACACACACACACACACACACCCTGTCGTAGGTACCTCAACATGTACAGAGGTAATAAAAGTAAATTAGAAATATAATTTAGTTGTATGTGGTGGAGGGAAGGAAGATGGGTGAGGAAGGAATGGAGAATGAAAGGGAAGGAAGTAGGGAAGGGGTAGAGAAGGGGTGACAGGAGGGAGGGTAGGGAAAAGAGGGAGAAAGGGGTGACAGGGAGGGGAGGGAGGGGGGAAGGGGGGGGGGAGAGAAAGGGGGGAGGACAGGGAGGGAGGGAGGAGGGGTAGGGGAGGGGAGGGAGAAAGGGGGGTGACAGGGAGGGAGGGGAGGTAGGGAAGGGGTAGGGAGGGAGAGAAAGGGGGTGACAGGGGTAGGGGTAGAGAAAGGGGTGACAGGGAGGGAGGGAGGGAAGGTAGGAGGGAGAGAAAGGGGGTGACAGGGAGGAGGTGCTCAAGACTAGCTAATTAACAATCTTGTAATTAAAGGCTAAGCTAGACAAAGTATATAGGTGATGAGTGTATACAGGTGTGTGTGTGTGTGTGTGAGTGTGTGTGTGTGTGTGTGTGTGTGTGTGTGTGTGTGTGTGTGTGTGTGTGTGTGTGTGTGTGTGTGTGTGTGTGTGTGTGTGTGTGTGTGTGTGTGTGTGTGTGTGTGTGTGTGTGTGTGTGTGTGTGTGTGTGTGTGTGTGTGTGTGTGTGTGTGTGTGTGCATAAAGTAATGAACCTTCGTTGGTCACCTGTGAGGAACCAGACCTATTACTCTAAGTCATCTTGGGTTACGTTACGTTACGTTACGTTACGTTACGTTATGTTATGTTAGGTTAAGATGCATTGGGATAAGTTTAGATTTAGGTTAGTGAGAGAGAGAGAGAGAGAGAGAGAGAGAGAGAGAGAGAGAGAGAGCAGTAATATGTGAGAAAGTTTGGAGCCAATTTTTACGACTTCCTAATTATGGTGAATATTTTTTTTTATTTAGAATTAAGCTAAGCTTAATAATTTCTGCCCAAGACCACTACCACCACTGCCTGTGGGCGTGGTCTGTGGCGTGAAGCACCTGTGTGGGCGTGAAGCACCTGGCTGGGTGGGGCAGCACCTGGCTGGTGGGGTGAAGCACCTGTCTGGGTGTGGGCGTGAAGCACCTGGCTGGGTGTGGGCGTGAAGCACCTGGCTGGGTGGCGTGAAGCACCTGCCTGGGTGTGGGCGTGAAGCACCTGGCTGGGTGTGGGCGTGAAGCACCTATCTGGGTGTGGGCGTGAAGCACCTGTCTGGGTGTGGGCGTGAAGCACCTGTCTGGGTGTGGGCGTGAAGCACCTGTCTGGGTATGGGCGTGAAGCACCTGGCCGGGTGTCCGAGTCTCACTAAATCATTTCCGTAAAGCAAGAGATTAATGAGTTATGGGCGGAGTCACCTGTCTCCGTTACTATGACGACCAACTAATGCTGGCTCGCTATTGGCTCTTGCTATGGGTCTCTTATTCACTATTGGCCACACAAATTTACCCCACTATAAAGCGTCTCTGACAATGACAAACTTTACCAGACACTTGACGTTACTCTGTTTAATCAACATAATTAACTCAATAACAATCAAACTATATTATCAAATTCTGGAAGCATTAAACACAAGGTCATTTACAACCTCTAATTACCACTCATCAACCCTGGTATATCAACTACTAATATCAATGTCATTAGTCCTTCAATTACCAATAACCTCACTAGGAATCACCTTATTTCTGCCACCACAAAGATTAAATATAAAGAAGAAACTAACTCGCTGTTGTTTCTTGAGGTTAGGTTACGTTAGGTTCAGGTTAGATTTGGTTAGGTTCAGGTTAGGTTCAGGTTAGGTTAGGTTAGATTCGGTTCAGGTCAGGTTAGGTTAGGATTCCAAGCTGGAGGGTCACATAACAGTCGTCATGATACGTAACATTCACTACAAAGGGGAGAATGTGAGAGGTGAGGGGACAGAGTGAGGGTATGAGGTAACAAAATGAGGGGTGAGAGAACAATAGTGAGGGGTGAGGGGACAGATGAGGGGTGAGAGTGAGAATAAGCGAGAGTGCCAAGCATGCAAGGTGAGGGGTGGACGAGGGGAAACCACATAAAGAATCTGAGGGGAGAAAGAACAACTAAGCAAGTAAACAAATAAAGAAGTAACGAGGGTGAGGGGAAAGAGTGAGGGAAACAGAGGGGGATGAGGGGTGAGGGGAGTGGTGAGGGGAGAGAGGGAGTAGCGAAGTGAGGCGAGAGAGAGAGAAGGTGGAAGTCGGAATAAGGGAATAGGGGGATGGAGTGAGGGGACGGGGGAGGGAAGTAAGGTGGAGGGGGAGGGGGGGGGTTAGTGGTGAGGGGAGAGTCCTGGCAGGTCGGGGATGGAGAGGGCAGGACAGTATAGGTCGGGCAGTCACTCGTGCAGGTCACTCCTCCTCCGCCATCCTGCTCAAGTGTTTCCAAGTAGATTATCATAAGTGTTTCAGAACTTAACACCGCGTCACCCTAACTTAACACCGTGTCACCTTAACTTAACACCGTGTCACCCTAACTTAACACCGTGTCACCTTAACTTAACACCGTGTCATCTTAACTTAACACTGTGTCACCTTAACTTAACACCGTGTCACCCTAACTTAACACCGTGTCACCCTAACTTAACACCATGTCACCCTAACTTAACACCGTGTCACCCTAACTTAACACCGTGTCACCCTAACTTAACACTTGTATTCTAGAAGATCTTGTACTCAGTGTTGGGGATAGAATCTTGCACTCAGGCCATCACGACTGAGTCCATCGTACTCTACCTACAGCCAGAGTGAAGAATCATGACCACTATACCACCATCCACTTCCTTCCTCGTCCTTACCATCATCGTCACCTCCTGCCCACACGTCGTCCATCCCCAGTGTAAGTGCCTCACCCCCTCCACCCTCTACACGTCTCCACCCTCCACCCTCAGAGCTTAGGTATAAAGGTATGATTGGTTTACTGTCTAACATATACCTTTCCAACCCCTAATTAGGTGCCCAGGTACACCCAGACAGCCCCTTACACCACCTAATATTTCCCTAACTCCCGTAACAGGTGGTGAAGGAGGGGGGGGGGGGCGTCACACGTCACGTTTTCACTGGTGTTGATGTTGGTGATGCCCTTCCTTCGCCTCCCTCAGTTGCGTCTCTCCTTCCCTCATCTGCTTCCTTCCTTCACGTGCCTCCACACTTATACATTTTCCTCCTTCCCTCCCTACTTCCCTCATCTCCACACCTGCCGTCTCCCTCCTTCTCTCCCTACCTCCCTCATCTCCACACCTGCCGTCTACCTCCTTCTCTCCCTACTTCCCTCATCTCCACACCTGCCGTCTACCTCCTTCTCTCCGTACTTCCTTCACCTCCACACCTGCCTTTCTCCCTCCTTCTTTCCCTTTCATCTCATGTAATCTGTAATCCTCTGCTTCTAAGTCTTCCATTCTGTAACCTAAATTATTGTTACATTTTTGTATGTCTATCTTCTGAAGTATAATTATGTAATCCGTTAAATTATGATTACCTTTACGTATTTCCCGCGTTATTGGTCTAATTATGATGGAAGGTACAGGTGAGGCCAGGTGGTCTTGATTAATGAACAAGGTGTCATATTTACCAGGTAGAATATGTGGTGTTATGTGTGACTGTGTGGTGGCTGCCGCGCGGTGTTCTTTGGGTTAGGTTAGGTTTGGTTAGTCTGAGGTGGGGTTAGGTTAGGTTAGGTGGGGTTAGGTTAGGTTTGGTTAGTCTGAGGTGGGGTTAGGTTTGGTTTGGTTAGTCTGAGGTGGGGTTAGGTGAGGTTGGATTGAGGTGAGGTTAGGTGAGGTTGAGTTAGGTACAGTTGTGGCCTATAACTGTATCGGTGCTGTAAATCAAGTGAGGTAGAGCGTGGGGCAGCTAACTGTATTTGTCAGAAATAGTTCAACACTTGACTGTAGCATTCCTCCTCCTCCTCCTCCTCCTCCCTCCTCCTTCTCCGTCCTCCTCCTCCTTCTCCGTCCTCCTCCTCTTCCCTCTTCTTTCTTTCTTCTGTGTCAAGACCATAGTCTTGTTCTTCCTCCTCCTCCTCCTCCTCTTCTGTTAAGTCCGATAGTATTCTCTCCGTCCTCCTCCTCTTCTCCACCTCTCCTCTTTTCTCTCCGTCTTCCTCCTTTCCTCCTTCTCCGTCCTCCTCCTCCGTCCTCCTCCTCCTCCGTCCTCCTCCTTCTCCGTCCTCCTCTCCTCCGTCTCCTCCTTCTCCGCTGTCCTCCTCCGTCCTCCTCCTCCGTCCTCCTCCTTCTCCGTCCTCCTCCCATCCTCCTCCTCCTCCGTCCTCCTCCTTCTCCGTCCTCCTCCTTCTCCGTCCTCCTCTGTCCTCCTCCTTCTCCATCCTCCTCCTCCTCCGTCCTCCCTCCTTCTCCGGGTCCTCCCTCCCTCCTCCGTCCTCCTCCTCCTTCTCCGTCCTCCTCCTCCTCCTCCAGGCTGTGACTCACTCCACTAGCATAGGTCCCTGGCGTGTTGTATATTTCTTCGAGTCCTTAATCTAGAAGGCACACTCACCCATAATGTGTGTGTGTGTGTCCCTCGAGGCCACACTTGTCGCCTGACCCCTTTATAGTGGTACATGTAGGAGGAGGAGCCGTACTGCCCCGACCCCTCCATCACACACACACACACACACACACACACACACACACACACACACACGGCTCCTTATAAGTCTTGCGTCGACCCAGAATTAGTCTCAGAAGTGACTAATTAAGCCGCTGGGGGGCCACAGGTCACAAAATTAAGCCTTGTTATCTATTCTGAATTAAGGAAATAAGATAAACGTTTTACAGTAGAAATTGATGATGAATTTTTATATGATGGAAGTGGCTGGGGCGTAGGTGCTGGGGTTAGGTGGTTTGGGGGAAGGTTTGGGGGTTGTGGGGTAAGGTTTGGGGGGGTCTGGGGTTTAGGTTAGGGGGTTGGGTTACTGGGCTCTTCCGTACCTGTTGCCCTGCACCCCCTACTCTATGTCTTGGCTGTTAGCATGGGGGAAGCGAAACTAAAATGGGGGGGGCGGGGGTCACCAGGGTAGAGAGGGGGATTTCTCTCTCTCTCTCCCCCTAAATATCACCTTGTTTTTGTTTTTCCCTGAACGTTTATCATCGCTGCAGGTAATGACAAGGTCGAGGCTGACGTCTGGATGTATTATCGTGGCGCAAAAACGACCATCTGAATCCGGATTATCAAGAATTGGTTCGTGAACATCCGCGATCCTCAAACTCGAGATGAGAGGAAGTCTATATAATACACTAAAGATAAATGTTTCCTTAAATATAACAATAATTCATGAACGTAAGGTTAAGTTTAAGTGTGTTTTAAGTTCATTGGAAACGTTATTATAGCGCTGAATGTAATAGAACGTGATCTTGGGTCTGATTTGTTGTTCGATTCGTTTGGTTCCTTAATGTGGACGGACACTACCTGGAAGAACCTGACGCCTGTACACACCCTGCCCCGCCCCCGCCATCCTTCTGGCTTGATGTTTGAAGACCCCTCTTCCCCCTCACCCCCCTTACCCCTCACCCCTTCCCCCCAAAAAAAGACATTTATTTTTCCTGTTGTTCTCTTCCACAATCTTGCCTCCAACACAACTTCGTCAGCTGTCCATACCATCATAGTGGTCTTTTGTCTATGTAACTCACTCGGTGCAGGGATTGTTCTTGTTGTGCTATACCATCATTACCTCTCTTACCATCACCCTTCTCTTGTTCTAACTCTCCTGTGGTCTTCTCTCCGTCAGTCCCCGGTCAGTCGTCTCGTGGGATCAACAACTTGGGGCTTCAGTCACCCGAGGACTTCAACAACCAAGGCTTCCAGGCTACAGGAATCCAAGACCGTCGCTTCGATTCGCAAAACCCCAACAGACAGAGTAATGACTTTCAAGGTGCCGGGAGCCAAGGTCGTGATTCTCTAGACCCTCGCAGGGGGAGCAGTGGTATCCTGCCTCCTGGTTTCCAAGGCCCCAGGGTCGATTCTCCGAAGGTGGGGTCACCAGGAGTGTGTCCAGACAGCTCCTTCAGGGTGGTGGAGGAGCTGGGTGGTCGTCCGGGCAACCTGACCTGTTTCTCGTGTAAACTAGACTTCAGGAAGTCACCGTATGAGTGGAGTCATCCCTGCCTGGGGCGACACAACGGCCTTAACGTCAGTAGGGACTACCTGGTCCGCTGTGGCCCCAACGATCTATACTGCAGGGTAAGTACTGCTACACCGCGCCTCACCTGGCTGTCCTCCCAGGTAACCTCTTCACAAAGTCTTAATATCTACTCCAGGCAGATTTGAAGAATATTTACAAAAGTTTAATTAATAAATTTAAATCCATGTATGTTATACTTCACAGGTACACGTGACCTCCCAAAATATATTCTTAGAACAAAATGACACATCTAATTTTTCTTTAGGAATTGATTAAAACTTAGACTAGAGTAAAAATGTAGGTAAGTAGTGTTTTATGTGTGGTGGTTGCGTGTGAGGAGGGGGAGGGTGTACAGTGTTTAACATGAGGTACAGCGGGAGGGTGGCAGGTGGTCGGGTTGTTCGCGTGTCAGGCGCGGCCCTTAGTGGCCCTCAGCACGTAGTACATACTGATGGTTGATGGTCACTGCTAGAAACTTTCCACGAACAAGACTGCCGAACCAATCACACACACGGCTATATGGCCCTATTTTGATAAACAGTCTCCTCGTATTTATAAGATCTCTCTCGGCTGTTTTATCTCCTAATAACCTGAATTAATTTAGAGGTTAATGAGTTAACGATTACCGTGTGTGTGTATGTGTGTGTTCCCGTAAACAATTTGAGAAATATGAACATCTAAAACAGTAGAAATTGCTTCATAATAGTTCCTAATTTAGAGTGAGTGAGATGAACTAACTCAAGTTAATAAATTACATTAGTTGTGATTCATTGACCTTTTTCCGGCAGGCTGAGAGGACGGAGGTGAACGGTGTGCTCATCTCTCTGACTCGGGAGTGTACTGACATCTGTTACTTCGGCTGTAGACCAAAAGGCTTCGGGATAAGCTCGGAGTCATGTGCCAAGTGTTGCAGCTCGAACGCCTGTAATGATATGTACCCGCCCAGCAGCGCCCCGACCATCACCACAGCCACTACTCCATCGGTTACTACAGCAATAATCCTGGGTTGGTGTCTCGCAGCCTTCGCCAACCTAACCTAACCTAACCATTTTTAGTCTAACATAACCAAACGTAACCAAACATAACGTAACCTAACATAACCAAACGTAACCAAACATAACCTAACCTAATCGAGAGTAGTGGATCAATGCCTCTTGCACTTCGTCTCCTGACATTATACCTCCCAGCACTGCCTCTCACACTCCTCCCAGCACTGCCTCACACTGTCCTCCCAGCACTGCCTCACACTCTCCTCCCAACACTGCCTCACACACTCTCCTCCCAGCACTGCCTCACACTCTCCTCCCAGCACTGCCTCACACTCTCCTCCCAGCACTGCCTCACACTTCCTCCCAGCACTGCCTCTCACACCTCCCAGCACTGCCTCACATTGACTCCTCCTCCCTCCCAGCACTGCCTCACACTCCTCCCAGCACTGCCTCATACCTCCCAGCACTGCCTCACACTCTCCCCCAGCACTGCCTCACACTTCCTCTCCTCCCAGCACTGCCTCACACTCTCCCTCCCAGCACTGCCTCACACTCCCTTTCCTCCCAGCACTGCCTCACACTCCCTCCCTCCCAGCACTGCCTCACACTCTCCTCTGTATACTGCCTTCACACTCTCCTCCCAGCACTGCCTCACACTCTCTCCTCCCAGCACTGCCTCCCCACACTCCCTCCCCAGCACTGCCTCACACTCTCCTCCCAGCACTGCCTCACACTCTCCCTCCCAGCAGTGCCTCACACTCTCCTCCCAGCACTGCCTCTCACATCTTCCTCCTCCCAGCACTGCCTCACACACCCTCCCCCAGCACTGCCTCACACTCTCCTCCCAGCACTGTCTCACACTCTCCTCCCAGCACTGCCTCACACTCTCCTCCCAGCACTGCCTCTTCACACCTTCCTCCCAGCACTGCTCACACTTCCTCCAGTATACTGCCTCACACTTCCTCCCAGCACTGCTCCTCACACTCTCCTCCCAGCACTGCCTCACACTCTCCTCCCAGCACTGCCTCACACTTCCTCCCAGCACGCTCTCACACTCTCCTCCCAGCACTGCCTCACACTCTCCTCCAGCACTGCTCTCACACTTCTCCTCCCAGCACTGCCTCACACTCCTCCCAGCACTGCTCACACTTCCCACTCCCAGCAGTGCCTCCTCACTCTCTCCTCCCAGCACTGCCTCACACTCTCCTCCCAGCACTGCCTCACACACTCTCCTCCCAGCACTGCCTCACACTCTCTCCTCCCAGCACTGCCTCACACACTCTCCTCCCAGCACTGCCTCACACTCTCCTCCCAGCATGTTAAGTTAAGGGTCATACCTCTTAACATGTACCAAGATACTCAACAGCTATTATCAACATATATAAAGTAGTCTAAAAAATATATACAGTAAACAAACTACTTTAATTTTTTCTTGGTGCAATCACATCAATGTTTATAATGCAACAACCAACATTGTCCCACACTTGTTGATATTAAAGGTCTCCCATCAACATCAGTGTGGAGAATGTTACTCTTGTCCTATAAACATTCATGCAATTGCCATGATAATCTGTTAAGGTTGTTTGTATCAAGGAGATTTATAGCTCCTTGGTGGGGTATACATATTTGGATTACGTAGAACAACAACTTGAAGTCATTTAAGGGGCTGTTAAGAGGACACACACACTATTGTACCTCCAGTCACCCATTTGTCTATTGAGAATGTTGTAGTCATGAATTAGCCATAAAAAATAGCCAATATACTGTAGTCATAAAAATAGCCATAGTCATGAAAATAGCCATAAAAATAGTTCGGTTCTGCTTTTAGCCACAATCCTGGTTTCATTGTTGATTTAGGAACTCTTGAATCTTATATATGTGTTTATAATATAGTTAAGAAGAGGTGATATAGAGTAAAGTCTGTTTTTGATAATTAATTCATGTGCTATTGATGATAATGATGGCGAGTGATGTTGATGACGACTAGTGTAACCTGATATAACTTAACCAGACCTAAACCTAACTTCTTGTAACCTGAGCCTAACTAATGTAACCTAATCAGACCTAAACCTAACTTAATGTAACCTAATCCAACTTAATGTAACTTAACCAGACCTAAATCTAACTTATTGTAACCAAACCTCAAGTAACCTAACAAGATCTAACCTAATTTAACATAACCTAACCAAACTTAAGCTAACCTAACCTAATCTAACATAACCTAACCAAACTTAAGCTAATCATTAGGTGAATTAAGCCAAGGATTTAGTAACATTGACTTATGATGATTAACTTCACCTATATATTTTATTTTCAGATATTTCTTTGGGTAATTTAGTGTGAACCTGAAGTTAATTAATGTGTAATGCTAGGTCAGGTTTAGTTAGTTTTAGTATTAGAGTTGGGTTAAGTTAGGTTTGTGTTAGGGTGGTTAATCTTCAGGTGGTGGAAGTTAGGGTGCCTAATCTTCAAGTAATCCACATTTATTTTACATGTTGGATGAAGAAAGAAACAAACATCCTCATCAAACACACACAGCTCTTGATCCCTTCCTCAGTGGGACACATATACTCCATAGACAGAATCACATAAGCCGGGGTGTTGTTTTGTGTTTCCCGACTATTACTTGATATTGTGTGTGTCTGTTGAGCACCACTAGTGTCGTAGAGGTTAGGTTAGACTAGTGGTAATGACAACAGTTGCCATCATCATCTTAAAGAGGTTAGGTTAGGTTAGGTTAGGTTAGGTTAGGTTAGGTTAGGTTAGGTTAGGTTAGGTTAGGTTAGGTTAGGTTAGGTTAGGTTAGGTTAGGTTAGACTAGTGGTAATGACAACAGTTGCCATCATCATCATCTTAAAGGGTTTATCACCATCTTAAGATAAAGTCAGTAATGGTGACGTAAGACTTGCTGATTTTTTGGAGCAAAAACTATTTTTCTTTCAGAATTGGAAATTAATGTTTTTTATAATTACTTTCATACATCAAGAATAAGAGAATAACACCATAAATCATCATTGAAGTATTATAAGAGGCTAGTGATTATGGTTAGAAAACTCTTAAGATTATTATAAGTCATTAAGTGAAGATATTAACACATGTCCAATTATTTGACATCAGATTCTTAGTCAGTATGTCAAGGAGTATTTAACTGTTGGAACTCTCAGAGTCTACCCTTACATTTCCAGAAGTAAAGACCAATGGTATCTTCAATATACAAGTGATAGAGTTTGTGTCATGAAAATAACTTTGACATATATCTTCCCATTTATTGGTGTTACCTCAAGGAACTACAAAGCCACTGGATCTAAATTCAGGCCTTCATCCCTTACAGTTTTCCCATGATCTCTTGAAGTCTCTCTTATAATACCAACTTTGTGCATCTCTCTCTCTCTTTTATCATCTGTATTAGTTACTCTACTGTACACTGGTCTTTCTCTTCTGGCTTTACCTGTAGTGTACAGTATTATATTTTCTTAGTTCAAAGTTGACCGTCATATTCTACGCCATTTTCTTTTTTGGCCGTTACCCTGTTTTTGTGTACTAAATGTTTGTGTATTGAACTTAGATAGGACTGTAAATTATACACTTTGATGGGAATGTGATTTATGGAATCCTGTGAGAAGGTACACAAGCATATCTGAACCTATACATTATATACAGTATCTCAGGGTAATGAAAAGAACTATCTGTATAACAAATTTTACTTCAAGTAACACCACCATATTTATCAAATAATGTATATATTAATTAAATTTTGTATACATATTTTATATTAATAGATATAAATTTGTTTTTCATAAAATATTGTCATTAAAAATCTATGTACAGTAACTACAAGTACACAGGTTTAAAATAATGGTAAAAATTCAAATATAGTACTGTAGATATTTATGTTATAGATTATAACTGTGTTATATAATTATCATACCATGGCATAGTATCATTAAGTTTGACGAATTGTATTCTGTATGTGAACCTATGTTATGCTGTCATAGCTTCTGTATGTAGTATAGGTGGCAGTTTTATGATGTCCTAATTAAGTATTCTCTAGTCAAAGGTTCTTATTTATAACACTCAAGTTACCTGAACTAAAGGTACCATAAGATTGTATAAGAAAGTTTATACCTTAGCTTAAAACACAATGTACTGTTTGTTGATTCTGTAAATTATCATTTGATATTGGGAAATTTATGACTGAATTTGCCTGATTAAAAATCAATAAAATTTCAAACTTTCCAAATCTAAAGTTGCACTTCCAGCTCATGAACTTCACCAACTTTTAAACATTGTATTTAACTATAAAGTATATTTCCATGGGATTAACATATACTGTACACATTGCTCAAAAATAAAATTAATCTGTGTGAGATCAACATAGAGGGCACACACACACTAGTATGCTTAGACAGTGATAGTATGGACCCACATGCTACTGGAATGACTCATATTAAGACTGTTTAAATACATAACAATACTGCACTGTACTATCAGACACTTCAACATAGTAAAGCCACATCATTCATCTCTTCTATAGAGTACTGTACTGTACCATCCTCATGTTAATATACAGTACTGTACTATCCACATAATCAGTAAGACTTATTGTACTGACTTTAAAACCTATTTACAATTTTCATCATTCAGCAGAGGGATAAGATCTTCAAGTTGTGGCAGGTAATAGTCTGGCAGCCTCTTGTGCTTCTCTTCATCTTGGTTGGCAGCATATTCTTCCAATTCTTTCATCTGTGTTATGCCACTCAGCACCATCATTGTGTGAAGGCCGCAGTTCTTACCAAACACAATGTCTGTCTTGCAGCTGAAACAAAGTACAGGATTATTACAGTGTTGGATAACCTGCAGTACCTTGGGTTTAAAACTTAAACCTTTATTATTTTTAAAGATTTCCCACAGAAACTGTTAAGCCATGAATAAGAATGAGAAGACCTCTGTTAGGTTCCTGTACCCTGAAAAAGTTGACAACAAATTCCTCTCTCTCTGTGCTTTACAAGTCTAATTGAAGTACTGTACTGTATGTTAATCATCTCATATCTTCTTACATAACTGATTATACTTACTAAGAATACATATAATAGTGCAGACCTCTTTCTTTTTTGACACAAGATGTTATACAGTACTGTATGTCACAGAATCAAGATATATGCCATACACAGGCTAATTGGAATTTGCTACAAGAGAAAGTCTTTAATAAGTTTATATAAGCCAGGACTGTATTGTAATGATGTCTCAGTAACTCTTAATATCTGATTTTTTTCTCACTCATGTTTTGTATTCAGGTTTTACCAGTGTATGTTTCAGATAAAAGTTTAAATTTCTTCAGTGTATTATTCCTATTTTTTGTTTTTGTTTTGTCAAGATGATGGACTGTAATACTGTAATAAAAACGAGACATAATGGTAATAATAACAAAGACCAGTGACACAAATATAAAAAATTTAATTCATGTTATTTATAGTGTAGCTGTAGTGTACATTACTGTACTAACTTGTCTCCGATCACGATGGTACGTGAAGGCTGTAATTGATGCTGTTCACTTATGACTGAAAACATCATCTTGGAAGGTTTGCCCATGATGGTAGGTGGACGCATGGCAACTGTCTCTACACACCTCACCATACATCCAGTACCTGTAATTATCCAGGAAGAATTCTATTAGTTGTTGTTTTCAATATTTATGCCAAAAAAGAACATCAGCAGAAGAGCATCAAATCAAAAGTGTAATGAGATCATGGAGAGACACCGGACCACTAAACTCTTCTTCATTATCATCCCATTAATAAAGTTCACAAACACCTTCTGTGTTTTAAGCATCTGTTGTTTACATTTCAATACAGGGAACCTGTACATGTATCTGGATTATTACTTGCATAAATGACTCCTGGAAATTTGTAATTACTAATGCGATGCTAATTACTCGCCAACTGTGGTTTTTCAAGGTAACTTTTTGGTGTTTGTGTGTTTTTTGGATGTACTTAAGTAGTTAGATACATTAAATTCTGTTCTGAGTGAAAAGTTTTTTCGGTCCAAAACCCCGTTTTGGCCATAATCTTGATCTCATTGATTTTGTTCAAAATCTCAATATAGGCGGTACTCCTGAACATGCTGATTAAGGACACATTGAAAATTATCCAAATATGGTGTGAGCTGACCTGTGTTCCTTCACTTGCTGTCATTCATTCCTTGACTTGCCTTACTCTCTGTGGTCTGGTATGACGTTCGTTTCAAATACGAAGGCTGTAAAATATCTCTTTAGTTTAAATTAACCCTTAAATGACTGTCATCATCAGTAGATGTTTCACATTCATTGCCTAAAAACATGACATACAAACAAAATTGATGACTTCAAAGCTATTTATAGTTTCAGCATATGGCTGACAAAACCAGAACTCCCATGCTTACATTTTCACTTACAGAATGCAAAAAAATCCTCGGATGAAAACAACTACAATCTTACCCGGAAATATAAGTTTGCTACTTTGAATGGGAAATCTTTCATCAGTGTTTGTGGCAATGAACAGACAGCCAGGTTTGTTGAGGTAGGAGGCAGCTCTCAGGATCTTGGGAAAGCTGAAGGTGCCGTCAAATCCCACAGCGACGGCCCCCACCTCTGGGTCTAACTCCACTACGTCTTTTATATCTTTCAAATCAAAGACGCATCCCACCAGCGGATCCGGCTGTTGAAATCATTGAAATATTATTTATAACTATTTACTACTGTATATATATTATTAAAGTGGACTATGTAATCACGTCTATGATCAGCAGTTTTTAAAAGTGACTAAAGATGTTCAGTACAGGGTGTCCATAAATTATGTCCAATTTTAATGCTTAACCTTAAAAATATTAAAGATTGGGCACAACTCCTAAGTTTTTTGTCTTACTAGCTTCCACATGAGGGCCATGTTCTATTTATTAAAATTTTTGAGGTTATTGAGATTTACAATGAGTCAGACCATTTATGGGCAGCGTGTGAAGTAAGTGTAGAGTAGCTAAAACAACTATCTGTGCATACTTTGTGGGAAACAATATGAGACCATGGACAATAAATTTTGGTATATGAGGGCTGTCACTAGTCACACTTAAAATTTTGGAGCATATCGACCCTCACCTGCACAGACAGTTGTTTTAGCTACTGTACATATATTATATTTACTTTTGTCTCACTTCTGTGTGAAGTTGAAGAAAGGTACAGAAGAGTAATAGCAGTGAGAGAAGAGAGAAATACGCTCACACACACATTAGCCTATATCCTAAACTTATATAAACAGTGTAAAACTTAAGCTTCAACACTGATCCACAGTGCTTTATAATAATTACCTGTGCATACTGATATAAACTATATTATAGTGCAGTAAATTAGTCTTCAGTTATTCAAACAACACACAAGAGACTGTACAGTGCTACACGATGTGGATTGGTTCACAATTGGTGTAAATTTATGCCGACAAACATTACAACATTAACGTCCGACCTGGTGGATTCTCTCGTTTGGTTCTGTTGATTAAAAGTGAATAACTTTTAGGTCTGTTCATCATTCTGTATTATATTTCCTTGCATTGCTACTTGGATTTAGGCGGCACACACAATACTGTCTTTATAAAACTGAAGGTTATTGTGCATTTATGCCATTTTCTTAATGGGATTCTTCAGTTCCACATCCCTATACCCTTGTATTATATATGGGAATTACCTTTCCTTTATCACAAGAGGATGTTAACACCTGACTCTTGGCGATTAAGTACTGTATTGTATTCCTTATAGAGGACAGAACACGAGAAATGCACGGATCACTTACTTCAACTCCCATGTGAGCGATGCCAACGTTATCCAACTCATCAGACATTCCTTTGTTGCCCACCACATATACTTTTTTGTTGAAGTTCTGTTGCTTGAGATACTGGGCCATAACATAGGAGGAGCTGACAATCTCTTCCTGGGAAAAAAATGGAAGTATAAACATAAACACATAAGGTATATATTCCATTCTGCAGTATGTCTCTGAAAAATGTACCCGGTACTGTACCTACTGTACTGTATACACATTGCCTTACAGATTTTTGTAGCGATTGTGTGAATGCTTTTATTACAACAGCAACATTGTCCTACTTTGTTGATGTGTGAAGTCTCCCATAAATGAGGGCAAGTATTCATGAGATCTCTATGAAAAACTGTGAGGCAAATTAGTGTACTATGCATATTTTTTAGATACCCAGTACAGTACAGTACAGTACAGTAATAGAAACAAGAGCTACAGTACAGTAACAGAAACAAGAGCTACAGTACAGTAACAGAAACAAGAGCTACAGTACAGTAACAGAAACAAGAGCTACAGTACAGTAACAGAAACAAGAGCTACAGTACAGTAACAGAAACAAGAGCTACAGAGATAATACAGAACGTATTATCCCTCTACACTTAGTCCTCAACTATCCTGTGTTCTTCAGTTACCATTTCCCAACTTCAAATTTCTTTAATTATTTCTTTATTGTGTCCTCTTTTCTCAGGGATGAAAGCCATATTACGGACCTCATGAAGATTATGAACCCTCGTTAATTTCACCTGATGATTTAACATGTTAATGCTAATCTAACCTTATCTGATCTCCCCCTCCCATTTTAATTTTGCAGCAGTGTGCATACTGGTTGAAGCAGTTCATTGTACAAAGGCAATACTAAAGAAAGGATGAACTTATATCTATAAATGATGAGCAGAACAGCATTACCTTACTACCAATAATGTCTAGACGCTCAAACTTGGCCAGGTATGTGTCACGTGACTTTGTAGAGTTGTTAGTTATAAAGAAGACTTTCTTTCCCAGGGCTCGCAGCTGGTTCAGGGCATCATTAGCCTGTCCTATTATATAGTCCCCATTCCACAAAACACCTGTAAATAGCAAATACAGTAAAGAAATGTATCACAGCATACTGTGATTTAATTCAGTCAGTGAGGTGACCATAAACTACACAACATCAAAGAAAGTATAAAATTGCATACATAACTGTACTGTATAGTATATAATAATAATTGCACCTGTGTACAATATAAAACTTACCTGATCAATTCTTTTAAGGTATTATACATATCTAAGTCAATGTTGCACATTTCTGTGTCTTTGGAAAACACTAAGATAATAACATTATACATAACAATAGACATACACTGTAGCCACTTTCACCTCCCTTAGTCAAGATTGTTAATACTGTAATAGTCAAATATAGATAATGGTCAGTTAATATTCCTATTGGACCGACTATTTTATTTCCAGCCAGGTCACAAGATGATATTAGACGACCTTCAGAAGAATTTTGTCTCGGTTCCCCACTAGGGTACTACCCATGAGTCAGTCCATTGGGTCCCTAACCTATCATATTTTCATAAAAGATCAATAGTGATGTTATCTTACTGACAATTCTCTAAACTAGGTTATGTTTGGTGACAACATTATAACTATTAGATGTGTCAGATTACATCTAATGTAAACACCAATTAACCCAGAACATTAATGTACAATATTTCATTGACTCATCTGCCTATATCACCAGTACTGTACTGTACTGTACTGTAATACTGTACAAAGGTACTGTGCCGCCTCCCCTCATGTGAGTATTTGCCCTTGTTAAATTCAGGTTAAATTCTGAGAAGCTGTGATGCTGTTATATGTAAGGCAGTTGAAGACACTACACAAGGTATCCAAACCTACTGATCTGAGTGTGTTTTATGAACTATGATTTTAGCAAACACAAATATCTTGGCACTGGTTCCTGTACTGTACCTCAACAATCAGATACACGAGATTATTTTTTTTTATCAGCAAAACAGTTTAATCTTTCGCAGTTGTTATTTGTCTGGTGAGGGACATTTACTTACTTCCGCCATTTGTTCAATATTCATTCTAATTCGTTGAGGCTCATGACACTGAACCTATGTTACTCAATTCAGTCACTTACAAACTTAATCTAACCGCGATATGATTGAGGTGTATAAATAGAAGTCAGGGTTAAACAAAGGTGATATAACAAAGGTACTTAAACTATCTAATGAGGAACACGTAACAATGGTTTTAAATTGAACAGGTTTAGATTTAGGCGTGAAATAGAAAAACACTAGTTTGGTAATACTAGATTAGTGGATGAATGGAACAACTTACCAAACATTATTAATATAAGCTCACTGAGAAGCTTCATGCATAGGTTGGACAGATATATGAGCTATGGGTTGGGTGTAAACAGTGCTGTCCAATTATAGCTCCAGTTTACTCCATTCTCATGTTCCTATGTTGTAACATCATAAGTAGTATGCTCAAAGTAATTTTTTTATTAGATTTGCCACAGGATATGGATCTTTATATCAACACAAAAATTTCCTAAAGCAAATCTACAACTTTTCCAGCATATTTACAAATAAGTGGCAGGGGTCTTATTTATTTATCATTTCACCACTTACCAGTTTATGAAATTTTACCCATACAAAATAGCTTCTAACAAATTTTCTATGGATAAAATCCCTATAAACCACTAGTTCAGAGGCGCCTCTATTCTTCACCATTACAAAGAAGAAATAACAACAGTTACCCTTACACAGGTCACCATACGTCACCCTCAGTAGGTGTTCTTATTACCACCAGTTCTTTATGCTGTATAAATTTTAGCTATAAATATGCATCACAACCAAAATAAAACCATATTGTAAAAACGTTGACTAATACTTTTCTCTGTGCTTTATGTATACTTATATAATCCCTGTACTGAACTTAACATGTCAAGGAATAAGAGATAAAAAACTACACAGATTAATAATACCTGGTAGTACTTTTTTACTTTTATCCTCTTAACCACTGATCTGCTCGTTAGCCTCTTGGGCGATTGGTCACGTCTCTGTCACGCCCTGTTGGCAAGTACTGGGCAGGCACTGGTTCCTGAATGTACCTGAACCTGCCTCAGTGCTTGCCCGTATATTAACCACATTCCTTACAAAACGAAAACATTAACTTACCATCACAATCAGTAAGGACAGTGTCAAAACTATCAAGAAAGTGTTTGATGTTACTCTTATCGAGGAGCTTAGGTAACGCAGCCATCCTCCTCCAGGTAGGTGTTGATACTGACGAGTGATGAGTCTGGATTCTGGACTCTGGCTGGCCCGGTCTGGGGACCATGCATGACTGTCGGCATTATGTTGATAGCTGCTATAGGAGGGGGTGCTAGGTGGGAGGGTGGCTAGGTAGAAGAGTGCCAGGGTGGGGAAGGGTGCCAGGGTGAGGTAGAGTAACAGGTGGGAGGGTGTAAGGGTGGGGAAGGGTGCCAGGGTGGGGAAGGGTGCCAGGGTGAGGTAGAGTAACAGGTGGGAGGGTGTAAGGGTGGGGAAGGGTTTCAGGTAAGTCACTCCCCCATCTCTCATGAATCACGATGACGTACCACCCCCCACAGACCTCACTTTGCCACCACTGATAAGGTCTATTACCTGACGTTTTTATCTAGTACACGGGATGACTTTATCAGTAATGAATATCTTTTTTGTCCCTATACAGTTTACATATAGTGAAATATATACTTGCATTGTCTATATATATATATATATATATATATATATATATATATATATATATATATATATATATATATATATATATATATATATATATATATATATATATATACTGATCCGATTGTTTGTATAATTGTTTGATGATTTTATATAATATCTATATTTTTTATCTATTTTGTTAGTAGTGGGAACAAAAACTGATTGATCGAATGTACTCTATCACCATGCAAGTTGTATTTATCCTGCAAGATCTATTCTATCCACACGATGAATCAATATAACCTTATTTGCGTATCTGGCACCAGTACAATAGTTTAATTCCCTCAAATTTCATGTACCGTTACAGTTTCACAATTAAGAGTTAGTTAGAATAAGGATGTGGTACCCAAGGAGTTACAATATCTATTAATACCCAGGAGGTTACAGTATTTATTGTTTATTACACATTATAAACACTAAAAATTAGATGAATAAGAGAAAAATATATAATAATGAACCCATTCTTATGTCGTGCGAATTATACTAAAATTAATGTGCATCTTAGTATAGAGAACAGATAAGAAATAACATAAGTCTCGAGACAAACATATTGTTGACTTTGAAGTTGTTATTATTTTTAATTTAGCATTGCAGTGTGTATGATGATGTTATATTGTATTATTGTTGTTATTGGTGATATAATGTATTACTGCGCTCTAACAGCTAAGGTCATTAAAATCTAAAATACTGTACATTAATACCAACAATTAAATTAACTAAAACATCAAATTCTGTGTTATACAACCTATATTAATTAGTGAGCCAATATAATACTAACTAATAAAGCAAGAATTTATATACAATGTGCATAGAATTTGTAAACAACATATAAACTGCATTTAAAGAATTCCTATATAACTTGACGATTAGACACCCCTGCTTGTATCACCTGAAGATTAACCTAACTTAAGGTAGTATTAGGGTAGTTAATCATCAGTTGAAATAAGCTAGGGAGGGTGTCTAATCCACAGGTGATACAAATTTTTGACAAGAGCCATCACATATGACCTGGCTTAATTTCTTCGTGTTCTTCGTCAGCGTCCATAAACCACACTTTATCCCATTTGTACCAGGAGTGGTTGTTCATAGCAGTAAGAAACTTGTAACCATTGTTGATGAGAAGTCCGTTTAAGGAGAGGAGTTCCTGCCTCTCCGCCCTTATACACATGACTCGAATTTTGACTATATTCCATGGCAATGTCTGCAGTACCTGGTGGTGAGCGAGGTAATAATAATAACGAAAGTTTGACAAAATAAAAAAAATGAAGCAATTGCTACTGCTCTTACTGATAATAATGAAAGTACTGTAGTATAGTAAAATATAATAATAATATATTTACTTGTAAACAAGATCAAAGTCCTAAATTAACATTCATTTCTCCTATAAATTTCTTACTTGTTTTTTGAGAGAATTAACAGAAATTTTATACTGTATAAAAAATTATGAAACTACGTTGTTTAGAATATGGAGAACCAAAAAAATGTGGACAACCTAATGGTTCAAACACATCATCTTGTACGCACAGTAATGGTTCATATGTACTTTACATCACTACACATGCAAATCATTTTGTATATGTACAATCGCCTGCATTTATACCTGGTACAGTGACGGGCGCATTTTGTGAGATATGGTACGTCTGTGTTTGTCTACATCGTATAAAAACTCCCAGAATGGCTCAAAGAAACCTTGCAATAGTAGCCAGAATGAGAATGTGCATTCCACAAAGTTGCCACATCTCACAAAACGCTCCAGCCACTGTACCAGGTATAAGTGCAGACGACTGTACATCACTCGACACACTTAAAGGCCACCCGTCACCCACCTTCAGCTCCTGGCCCTGAATATCGAGGGAGAGGAAGTCAATGACCCGATCCATAGACTTAAGAATGGAATATAGAGGAATAGCCTTGATTTTAATACCAATGTGTAGATCTTCTGAGATTTCTCCTGCCTCTTCCTTATCTCCAGTTGAACTGTAAAATAAGAAGTGGTGAAATATCACAATTATTAATGAAATCGTACAGAAAAGTCACAAGCAAGTTAGGATTTTTATGTAATGTTAGGAGATGTTATGATTTTACAGTCTCGTGTGTTTCCTTGTCAATAATACAGTACTGTTCTTTTCTGCCATTGTTTTTATACTTGTAGTCTCCATATGCTTTACTTTTTGAAACAATGTGAACTGGTAATATCATCTCACAGATAACTGACGATTGAGGTGTAGGTGTTGACTGCTGCAGCGGCGTTGATGGCCCAAGCCTTCCGGTGCTTGCTGAGGAGCTGCTGGAAGGCGGAAGGATTGGCCTCAATGAGCAGCCCTGTCCAGCCCAGTTCTCTCTCGAGATAAAGCGTGTTGCTGTACAACTCTCCGTCCATAGCTCCAACCTCCACGAAGAATCCTCCTTTCTGTGGTGTAATGGAGGTAAGTTTAAGATGGCTTTGTCTATCATTGTTTGAATTGACTTACTGTTTACCATTGTACCTGCACTATGTACTGTCTATGGATCATTTTATACCTTCATTGTTTATGTAGATTGTTTGCATACACCTGCCCTGTGTATTTGTATACCTGCACTGTCTCTGTGTACAGTACATTGCTTGTGTAATGCAGCAGTATCTGTAGTAGTTTTGTTTTGTTTTGCAGTAATAAGTGACAACCCTGCAATTCGGATGAGCCATTGAACGAGAGAAATGATTGTGAATGAATAAATTGTCACTTTTCGCCGTTGTCCCGAGGTAAGAAATTATTTTTGTTTCTGTAATGAAATTTGATTCAGTAGGTAGTTAAGGCCAGCAATTGTTCTTTACTTTTACCAATAATACAATAAGAGGCAAGAAAAGGAAGATGACTTGAAATAATTTACATATGGGCAGAGTAACACGAAGTTGAAATTAATGTCCGAGGGCCTTATATATGTAAGTTAGCCCTTGATATTTGTTAAAGTTTTCTTTGTAAGTAACAGCTGATGGATAAAGAAAACCGTTATCCATAAACTTCGTAATTATGCAGTAGATATCTGTATTATCTGTAATATACTGTACCTGTTGAATTGTATGCCTTATTTAATTACTATTATTAACTGTAAACTTGTATGGCGATATTAACAAATTCCTAGTCTAATCTGCTTGCAGTGACGCGTATTTATTTATTTATTTATTTATTTATTTATTTATTTATTTCACTACTTATCAGGGGGGACCGGTGGTAGAAGCGGTACCGTTCTTGCCTCGCAAGCGAGATGTCACGGATTCGATTCCCGGGCCGGTGGAAGTCCCTGTTCACCTAGCAGTAAAGTAGGTACCTGTTGTAAGTCGAAAGTTGCGAATTCGTATTCAGGGACAAGTTGTTGGAGCTTCCAATAACTTGATGACATAAACCACTGACTCTTCAGGCTTCTACGCCCTTGACTCTTCAGGCTTCTACGCCCTTGACTCTTCAGGCTTCTACGCCCTTAACTCATGAGACATTAAGGCAAGCATGAACTTAGCATGCTTCCCTGTTGGGCGCTATAAACGCCTCTGCGCTTCACCTTACACGAGGATGTAGGGGAGTGCCCAATAAAAAAAAAAAAACTACTTATCAGTTTACAAGCCGTTCGTGCAATTGGTTTTGTAATTATGAAGGACAGACATTCACTTACCATACCAGGCAAGATTTTGGTGATTAGGAAGATGCTCTGTCTGTATTGTGAGAAGTCTAATTTCTCCGGGTGGGTGAGGCTGTAAGACTCCTTGGAGGGAGCCACAAGTAATTCGCGACGTATGAACTCGGCAAGATCGTCGTCCTCCTGCGGCACTCTCAGAAAGGTCTCCACCGGAAACTTTTTCTCGTTCCAAGTTGTTGATGTTATCTTGGGCTGGTGTTGTAGTTGGTGGTAGTAGCTGCGTGGGCGGTGTAGAGGACCTGCTAAGAGGATTATCATCATCATCATCATCATCATCATCATCATCATCATCATCATCATCATTATTATTATTATTATTATTATTATTATTATTAATCATCATCAGTTATTATTATTTATCTTTTCACATCTTTTCATTGATAGCTTCCTATCTCCTGGGATTCCTCTAAGGCTCTCCTTCTTTAGTACTGTTTACTATTGAACACACACACACACACACACACACACACACACACACACACACACACACACACACAAACACACTACGGCACATTTATCAAACAATTATAATAGTATCGGGACAAATGTTAACCAGCAGTAGTTAAGGTGGATGGAACTTGGCACACCTCTGAGGCTTTACCTTTCCTGGTGACTGGGTTTGTGTGTTGGCTGGTAGTGTTGTAATTGTTCCTGGAGAAATACACAATGTTGACGACAAGTAACCCGAATAACATTAACTGAAACACCCTCAACAGTGCACAACGTTTCCATATTATCCTGAAAGATAAAATAAGTCTATTATATTCAGAAATAAAATGGAGGGTAAATAATCGAGGCGGTTATACTGAGGGAAGGAGGCCAGTGTAGGAACCCACCATTATTGTTGATATTCTTTTAAGTTGGAGGGTAAAGTGTGGCGCCAGTGTGTGTGTGTGTGTCGCTTCTAGTGGTAGTTGGAAGATTTTTTTATTAATAGACATCATAATGTGTGTGTGTGTGTGTGTGTGTGTGTGTGTGTGTGTGTGTGTGTGTGTGTGTGTGTGTGTGTGTGTGTGTGTGTGTGTGTGTGTGTGTGTGTGTGTGTGTGTGTGTGTGTGTGTGTGTGTGCTGGTAGACACGCGAAGGGAGGGTTCAGCACACGTTGGTCTCAATGTTCCTCACAGTTGGATGTCTGACTTGACTGTTGTTTATGTTTTAAGTGTTCCTTCTCTCGGAACACCTCACCTGAAGATTAAACCACCCTAACCTAATGCTAATCTAAACTAACCATAACTTAACCTAATCTGACGCTAACTTACTTCACCGAATTTAACCAAATCTAAACTAAGCTAATGTATCTGAACCTAACTTAACCAAACCTAACTTGAATTAACTTAATCTCACCGAATTTAACTGTGCCTAACTTAAATTAGCTTAACCTAAACTAACTTAGAGAACACACTTAAAAACCTTAGTTGTTAAAGCACATTAATGTTATAACAACAACAACACTAGGAGGGATACACTGAGGCTTCAACAACACTAGGAGAGATACACTGAGGCTTCAACAACACTGGGAGGGTTACACTGAGGCTTCAACAACACTAGGAGGGATACACTGAGGCTTCAACAACACTGGGAGGGTTACACTGAGGCTTCAACAACACTGGGAGGGTTACACTGAGGCTTCAACAACACTAGGAGGGATACACTGAGGCTTCAACATTAACACTAGGAGGGATATACTGAGGCTTCAACAACACTGGTGGGATACACTGAGGCTTCAACTTCACACTGGGAACACTAGGATACACTGGGAGGAAGGTTTCAACAACACTGGGAGGATACACTGAGGCTTCAACAACACTAGGAGGGATACACTGAGGCTTCAACAACACTGGGAGGGATACACTGAGGCTTCAACAACACTGGGAGGATACACTGAGGCTTCAACAACACTGGGAGGGATACACTGAGGCTTCAACAACACTGAGGAGGGATACACTGAGGCTTCAACAACACTAGGAGGATACACTGAGGCTTCAACAACACTAGGAGGGATACACACTGAGGCTCAACAACAGGGAGGGATACACTGAGGCTTCAACAACACTGAGGATACACTGAGGCTTCAACAACACTGGGAGGGCTACACTGAGGCTTCAACAACACTGGGAGGGATACACTGAGGCTTCAACAACACTGGGAGGGGATACACTGAGGCTTCAACAACACTGGAGGATACACTGAGGCTCAACAACACTGGGAGGGATACACTGAGGCTTCAACAACACTGGGAGGGATACACTGAGGCTTCAACAACACTGGGAGGGATACACTGAGGCTTCAACAACACTGGGAGGGATACACTGAGGCTTCAACAACACTGGGAGGGATACACTGAGGCTTCAACAACACTGGGAGGGATACACTGAGGCTTCAACAACACTGGGAGGGATACACTGAGGCTTCAACAACACTGGGAGGGATACACTGAGGCTTCAACAACACTGGGAGGGATACACTGAGGCTTCAACAACACTAGGAGGGTTTCAACAACACTGGGAGGGATACACTGAGGCTTCAACAACACTGGGAGGGATACACTGAGGCTTCAACAACACTGGGAGGGATACACTGAGGCTTCAACAACACTGGGAGGGATACACTGAGGCTTCAACAACACTAGGAGGGATACACTGAGGCTTCAACAACACTGGGAGGGATACACTGAGGCTTCAACAACACTCAGCAGTAAACACCTGATGAGCTGCTGAAACGAAAAGTTAAAGTCTTTGTTAGTGTTTCGGGAGTCCTGTGGTCCTGAGTGGTCCATTATTAGTGTTGTGGTCCAGTAGTGGTCCACCAGTAGTGTTGAGAGTCTCTTGTGGTCCAGTAGTGGTCCACCAGTAGTGTTGAGAGCCTCTTGTGGTCCAGTAGTGGTCCACCAGTAGTGTTGAGAGTCTCTTGTGGTCCAGTAGTGGTCCACCAGTAGTGTTGAGAGTCTCTTGTGGTCCAGTAGTGGTCCACCAGTAGTGTTGAGAGTCTCTTGTGGTCCAGTAGTGGTCCACCAGTAGTGTTGAGAGCCTCTTGTGGTCCAGTAGTGGTCCACCAGTAGTGTTGAGAGCCTCTTGTGGTCCAGTAGTGGTCCACCAGTAATGTTGAGAGCCTCTTGTGGTCCAGTAGTGGTCCACCGGTAGTGTTGAGAGCCTCTTGTGGTCCAGTAGTGGTCCACCGGTAGTGTTGAGAGCCTCTTGTGGTTCAGTAGTGGCCCACCATTAGTGTTAAAAGCCTCTTGCGTCCCAATATGATGGTCCGGTGGTGGTCCAGTGGTGGTCCACCGCTAAGTATTCTGAGCTTCCGTCACCCAGGAGTGGTTGTCTCTTAATGAGTGTGTGTGTGTGTGTGTGTGTGTGTGTGTACACGTGTGTGTGTACGTGTGTGTGTGTGTGTGTACACGTGTGTGTGTGTGTGTGTGTGCGTGATAGAGAGACTGACAGCCAAACTTAATCATCATCCTAAAATAACTCTGCAGCTGCTTCCGAGTTAAATAATAGTGTACACCTGTTTACTGATGTTATATACATTAAGGTAAAAAATATATATAGTATATATCAATGTACTGTAAATGTGTGTCAGAAGATGGAGAGGTTGAACTAAGTGAGAAAGTACGTTAGAAAATAATGATAATAGATGTAATATAATGTAACTGGAGCCTAACCTAACCTAACCTGTGTTAAAATATAATTACTGAAAAATAGTTGGAGTTACCTGACTTTACAGGTTTAACTTGCTGATAAAAAGGTACATGCAGTAATAAAACACCTGGCATGAGGGTGTCGTGTGTCCGAGCATCTGTCACACCTGTGTAAAAAAGGAGCTTGCGTGTGTTTGTCGCCCCAGTGGCATCAGGTGTTACATGCTGGAGGGGGTGATTTTTTTTACTGGACTCGCCTTCCTAACCAAACTGTTTTAAAACATTGGAAGGAATTATGAATATTGTGTGTATACTTGTGACCCCTTGGTATAAATTCTTGGTATAAACTCTTGGAATAAACTCTTGGTATAAACTACTTAATATACTAAACTAGTGTCAACAACTGTCGACTCATCACACAAACACGAAATACTTCACCCCAAAAATGTTTCTTGTGTGGGTGTGTGTGTTAAAAACCTTTATGGCCAGAATAAACATTATCCTTGAGGCAGTGTGTCCTTAACTGGAGCTCACCTCCTCATTAATTCGTACGTTAGTGTAATTATGTACAAGAAAACAATCTATTTACGAAAAGAGTTTTAGCGTAATGTTGTGGATTTCATTCTGGCCAGTCATCTTTATCTCTGCAGCTTGAGTGAGAGAGAGATAGGGTTTTAAAGCATCTGTTGGGCTGGTAATTTTAAGACATGAACTTTTAAGAATCAGTGGTAGAGTAGACAACTTTTTGTGGCTATTTTTTCCATAGAACAACTTCCGCGCGTCACTGGTCACCGTTGTTGTCTCCAGTAACCAATAGCCGTCGCTGCCGCCCGGTGTTCAACAGTACTCTGTACATTTATTTTAATTCAATATTCCGAACGTTTTGTCACTAGATTTCGTTATTTTATTCATAAATATTCCCTAGTATATATATATATATATATATATATCAGATGATTGGTACCAGAATGATTTAGTCTTGATTGTCTTCTTTTCCATTTTATATATAACAAGTTTACAGTGAGTAATTTTTATTTTTGTGTTTGGTGATGTAAAAACTTAAGGTAGTATTGTTGTACCGTATTATATATAATTATTTTATTAGTCTTCATGGCTGACTTATCCGAAATAAAAAGAAGGGTTGTGTATATTAATTATGGTATAATTAATAAAAAATCAATGTAATTAAAGACCTCGTACACTGGCAGCGACACCGTAATAAACATGGCGCCGTTGAGGTCGTTCATCTTCTTAACATTTTTATTGGTTAATAAAAAGTTTGTCTCAACACTGTGGTAGGTGATTCACTGATAGTTTACTGCAGAGCAAAACTAAAACTCAGGTTCCTCGGTTCAACCCCCAGGGCGGGGCAGATATGAGAAGGGTGTTAATCAGTGGAACACTACCAAACATGGCAGGTTTTCTCCAGGTACTCCAATTCCCTCTTGTATTAACAATAAAAATCATAAAAAAGTAACAAAGAACAGACCAACTGCCCCACACTCCCTTTGCCACACCCTTCACCTCCATACACCCTTTACCACACTCTTCATCACCACACCCTGTACCTCACCCCCTGCAACTCCACACCCAGTCATATCTCTTATTTTCATTATACCCTTGACCTGTTGGCCCAAGGAATGTCCGCGTCCCTCGGGTGCGTCACGCTTCACTTGACTGCGACAGATTATTAAGGAATTTTAGTTTGCTTTAGTTACCCCTACCAATTACTTGTTTTCTCTTATTGATTGACTTCTACGGATTTATCTTATAGAGTATGTCATGGATATAATTGATTTATAACGTTTTTGTATTTAATTATCAGGGTTCAATATCAACATCAGGATTAAGGATGTGTTTAAACGTAAAGTTGCGTATTTTTAGGGATAGAAAATTTGACCGTTACAAAAGTTTAAACGGTTGTAGGTAATTTAATCAATTTTTTTCAGTTATTTCTGTATGATATTTGTTAATTGTTTTTCTTATTACTTTTTATTGTCGATTATTACTATTAGTGTAGTGTAGTGTACAGCCTTAAATGTATGGACACCATTGATGATAAGCAACAATAAATAGCCAGTCATATACGTGTGTTATATATACGGCTATATATACTGGTCAGGGTACAGAAATGGCGTATATGTATCAGTAACATCGTCAATCCTATTTCTAATCCTCGTATTTTACTCTGACAACAAGGAATGGATTTTATACGTAATAGACTCGAATCAATTATGCCAGGGATGAAACAAAAAAAGGTTGGATTCTCTATCATTAAATTTTATGATCATCTAAAGAGCATCAGATACCCGCTAGGTCAGCACAACAAAGCCCCCCCGCCGCTATGCTCACCCGTTTTATGAGTGTGATTCATGGCGTCTATATTTCTTCCTTGATAGCAACATGGTTGGGTATATACTGTATATAAAGCTGTGTGCGCCACCTCACTGAAGACAAATGCTCCCCAAGTCTGTATTAAATAAAGATAAACGTTTCTTTTTAGCATTTATGACATCTACATAGTGTTACATCTTACTGGGTTATATTTACAGAGAGATTAACTTCCTCTCTGGCGGGGTGAGAAATGTATGTCGTAATATGTGATGGAGATAGAGTGTTTACATTCCACTTAGCGCGCTATTCATAGGTTCTGATGTCTTGGTTCCTCCTTCCCACTGTCTCTCTGATATGTTTGTGGAGATGAATAGTACGCTGAAAAGAGTTTATTATTATTATTATTATGACAGGCGTGAGGGCAACCTACCCTACCCTACCCTATCTTACCCAATCTTAACCTAACCAAACGAACCCACGGACGGGAATTAGCAGGAGGAAGAAGGTGTTTAAATACCGTAGAGTTTTTGATGTCATTCTTGGTGCCCGATTAACTTAAGGTTTGAAGACGATGGTTTAACTCTAGGAAGACGATGGTTTAACCCTTTGTGGACTGTGGTTTAATTGAAAGTTTAAAGGCAGTTTATATCCGGTGCCGGCGGTCTGAACAGATAGGCAAAATGGTGGCCCGTCAGGTTACATATCCGGTGGCGGTGGCGTGAGTAGTGACCTTTATATGCCTCGGATAACCTCAGGACTCTGGCGAAGGTCTTGAAGGACTCATTTTGTAGGACTCCCCCGGGGCCCATAGAGTACCATTGATCAAGGACATGTGGGCGGGGGGGGTATCCTTGTGCTATTATGTATTACAGGAAGAGAGAGAGTGTGTGTGTGTGTGTGTGTGTGTGTGTGTGTGTGTGTGTGTGTGTGTGTGTGTGTGTGTGTGTGTGTTCGTTCATTGTTATTTACCTGCACTGTCTATTTACATGCTGAATCAATTGAATAACTTGCATGATGAATCTTTCAGGATATCTATCAGAATATCTATCTATCTACCTATCTATCAGAATATCTATCTATCTATCTATCTAGACCACACCTGTGTTTGGAGACAGACAAGGCGCAGACAAGGCCACCTGTTGCTCTTGCCTTACACGGAACTGTTAAGATCTCGTCCTCCAAGCTACTCATCCTCCACCCTCCACCCTCCACCCTCCACCTACCACCCTCCACCCTCCACCTACCACCCTCCACCCTCCACCTCCTCCACCCTCCACCTACCACACCTCCACCCTCCACCTCCTCCACACCTCCACACCTCCACCTCCACCCTACCCACCCACCACCACCTACCACCTCCCCTCCACCTCCACCTCCCTCCACCTACCACCTCCACCTCCACCTCCACCTCCACCTACCACCCTCCACCCTCCACCTACCACCCTCCACCTACCACCCTCCACCTACCACCCTCCACCCTCCACCTACCACCCTCCATCCTCCACCCTCATGAATACAGGTCAAGCAAGTCTCAGAACTTTACGGATGCGACAAGAGACATCCATAAATTATCAAACTTCTCGCCTTCATATCAGTGTGTGTGTGTGAAGCCTCCATACTCTCTGATAGTGAATTAAAATTATCATAGTTACCGCTGTTTTAGACTCTCAACTCATCGTTTTCTCTGGTGACGGAAGACAAAGAAAATGGTCTATTATTGGGAGAAAAATTAGACAACAGTATACATTGATGATACTAATTTGAATGTTACTTGTCACTAGTGTACATAAACAGACCACCTCACATGGAGCTTCACTTTACATATTTGTCTTCCACACTTTTATGTTCAATGCCTCACAAACTTGTTTATTTAAGTAAGAATTCTTAATTGAATTTTCCTGTTATCTTTTTATAATTTCTGTTTAAATTCCTGTATTGTTATATCTATTATTTATTCAACAGCCTTCAGCTATAGACTATTTATTGATCAGTTATTATTATCATATCTATTGTAATAGTGTGTGTGTGTGTGTGTGTGTGTGTGTGTGTGTGTGTGTGTGTGTGTGTGTGTGTGAAGTGTACTGTACAACATTTCTTCACACGTACAGCCTTGTCTTGCCTCCGTTGGTTAGGTTTACTGTACACGCTCTACTGAGAACTTGTAATTTACCTTGATACAGTGTTGATACAGGACTCGAGCTACCAAGAAACTGTACCTTTACCCTCGATACAGTGAACCAAAAAGCAATAAACTGTACCTTTACCCTCGATACAGTGAACCAAAAAGCAATAAACTTTACATTTACCCTCGATACAGTGAACCAAAAAGCAAGTAAACTGTA